TCACTGCAAAGGTAGACTGTCATCTTGATGAACAGTGTGGCAAAATACATACAGGCTGCAACGAACAGAAACCTCAAATCCTCAATGAGAGACTGAAGGGGACTTTGCTTCCTAGAAGAATCTAGGAGGACTAGGCGTTTCTCCTTCTGGTCAGGAGCAGGCAGAACTATATGCGTTTCTATGGTGTCTGGGAACAGGGACCAAGGCCTGGAACAAGACTAGGGCTTCCCTCTGTCACAGATCTGGAGTGATCAGGGTCCACAGGCATCTCTAGTGAAAGGTATGAATCCTTCAATTCCTGCTCCATGGTGGGGAGGGGACTAGGACTATGATGGTTAGCTGTACACACCAGGATTTATAGGTGATGTTTTCCTGGCTTTTTTTGTTCTGTATTTTCCAATTTTTCTATAAACAAGCACTTATAATTCTCATAGCTTTAATTTGCAGGTTAAAAAAAAAAATCACCTTTGAAAATATACTTGCTTCAAGATATAAAAACTTCATGTATCTTTACGTACAACACATATGAAGAATTTACAATTCTATTCTTTCCATATATCTGAAAGTTTCATGTACCAGTACTAGACATCAGGAACGGGGCCATGCAAATGATCAGAACCCTGGGCCGCTTGAGGGTAAGGGTCTGTATTCTTGGACGCTACTGAACTGTGTTGGTTTGGGGGCATTAACCGGCTGTCTGGTACCCTGCAGAGTGGGATACAATCAGCTCTGTTCCCAGCATTCTTTCTGTTCTTAGCATGCTCTCTCCCATAGACACCTGCCTGGGAACTCAGGGCTGTGACAACACGCTGGCAACTCTCAGCTCCTTAAAACTTATACTACATTCATCTGTCCCTTCATGTAGTGTGTGTGTGCGAGCATTCACGTGTGCATGCCGTGGCACGCATGTAGAAGTCAGAACATGAGCTGTTTCTCTCCTCCTACTATGTCATCCAGCGTGGCAGCTGCACTTGCCTACCTAACAAACATCCCTACATAAGCCAGGCAGTGGTGGCATACTCAGGAGGCAGAGGCAGGCCGATCTCTGTGAGTTCGAGACCAGCCTGGTCTACACAAGAGCTAGTTCCAGAGCAGCCTCCAAAACCACAGAGAAACCCTGTCTCAAAAAAACAAACAACAAACAAACAAACACAAAAGAATCCCTACTTAGCAAACAACCTGCCCTTCAGATGCACACTTGCAAGCATCTGCAGATCTCTTCAATGAACCAAATATAAAATGCAACCTCTATCTTTCCCTCCATTTCTGAGCCCTGCCTTTTCCAGTCTCTCTCAATGTAGTGACAGCCAGCACCTTCAGACTTGTGAATCACACTCCTTACGAAGTAAGTTCGCCTAAGTGACACCTATCTGGGGGCTGCAGAGTAAGCTCAGCTCCCATGTCAGGTAGCTCACAACTGCCTCTAACTTATCTCCAGGAAACTTAATGCCCTCTTCTGACTTCATCAGGCACTGCACTCATGTGCAGAGACAAAAACACACAAATATAAAATAAGAAATGAAAAGACTTAAACACAGTTAGAGGACAATCTGACTGCTTCTGTTCTCCCCACAGGCTCCCACACCCAGCTTCCCTAAAGCAACTCTGCCTGGGCCAGGCCTCCACGCTCATCCCTCACGCACACTGTCCTCCACCAGTGGCTTGTTTATGATGTCACTTCATGCTCCAGAAAATGCCAAGTTGTTTTCTTTCTAACTTTTTTGTTGTGGTTTGTTTGTTTTTAGACAGGGTCTTATTCTGTAGCCCAGGCTGGCTTCCCTAGTGCTGAGATTCCAGGCAGGCAACAATCTCTGACAGTCTGAAAAGCACCCTTGCCTTTACCCTACCCTCACAAGTGTCCTCCAGGTCCAGATGAGTGCTGCACTCTGGAAGTACTTCTCAGACCCCTTCACTGAAGCTAACTCTTCTCTCTCACCAATCCCTCTTTTTCTCTTGATACAGGGTCTCTGTGAAGCACAGACTGGCTTCAAACTAGTAATCTCCTACCTCGGCCTCCCAGTGAGCTAGCCCATGCTTCCAGCCAAATCTGACTTCTAAAGAAAAATTTCAAATACCAGTGGTGGGTCAACGGGGGGCAGATATATCCCTCGGTGGCTAAGAGCTTAGAAAGGATCTATTCAATTCCCAGCACCCACATGGTGGCTAACAGTGAATGGTCTGTAACTTCAGTTCCAGAGGGTCTGACAACCTCTTCTAGCCTCCTCGAGGCACCAAGCATGCATGTGGTGTACAAACATAAATGTAGGCAAAACACATAAAGTATATAAATAAATCTAAAATCATGTTTTTAATTTGACATATGAAAGAATACTTTGAGCCCAGCACTTGGGAAGCAAATGCAGATGAATCTTTATGAGTTCAAGGCTAGCCTGGTCTACAGAGTGAGTTCTAGGCCAGTTTGTGTCTCAAAACAACAACCAAAGGAACACAAGTTGTACGTATCCCATCAGTACTTCATGGGTATGACCGTGACAACACATACCTGGACTCTACCGGTCCACCCTTACTGAGCTGCTGAGAAGGCAAGGTCAGACTGGCAACTACACCTAGTGGGGCTTACAGAGTTTCTAGAATTAATTTCTGGTTTCAGCTCTATCATGATAACTCTATGAGCTTACTACCTGATGTGGACAAGGCACATAGCATTTCTTTGCAGATTTCTTCATCTGTAAAGTGAAAACCAACCTTCCATTCTCCTGGGTACAAGTACCAGAACCCTCTAAATCTCGCACCAACGCTCAGTATAACACAAGGACATCTTTCTGCATCATTTCTGGCACTCTGAGAAGTGCAGCCTTTGTGCCTGGGAGAAATGGATTCACACCACAAAGACTTGTGAAGGGCACTCAGTTTCAATCTCGAGCTACAAATGCCAACCTGGCATTAAAGCATGCACAGTCCCAGCACTCAGAACAGCCACTCCAACTGCAACCGAAGAGTAGGCAAGAACTTGTGCACACATCATGAAGAGGGAGGATCAGTTTTCTATCTACCCTGCAGCTCCATCACCAGGGCAGAAGGGGCCTGGCCATCAGAGCCATGTGGGCACTAACCCTACCCTCCCTCCCCCAGCACAACACACAAACCTTTCTTGTTCTCTAAGTGGCATTCTGTGCCATCCTCAGTCAGAACTGCCTCTGGGTCTTGTTTACCAACAGCCAGGCACGGGATTCAATCATTCCAAGTCCATCACACACTCTTCTACCCAAACACAAGCAAAGCTCATAAATGACTCCAACTCCAGTTTCTGTTAACAGTGCAGAGAAGAGTAACTTTGTGCCTCCTGCCTTGCTGTCTTTCCCAGCCCCCACCAATGAATGAATGAATGAATGAATGAATGAATGAACGAACGAACGAACGAACGAACGAACGAACAAATACACGAAATCACACAGCTACATACAAATCACTTCCTCTGATGGCATTAGTAAAAAGTCTGGGTAAATAGAGTCTTTTTGATTAAGAGTTTTAAAGGAAAATGGGATCAAATAGTTTTTCTCTTCAGCTGTCAATTCAGAGCAAATTTACTGCTAGTAGACACAAAGGGCCAGGATGGCACTGGATGAGCAGACAGCTATGCCATAAGGACTACACAGACTCAGAACTGAGGCTACTATGTGCCCCCTCCCCAAAATCACTTCTCACACTCTAATTTAGAGCATGCTCCTGCTCTATGCACATGATGCTAAAACCAACGCAGTACAAACTGCACACCCTTCTGACATGAAGACCATGTAATAACACGACCCTTTGTGAAAGGCTGGGACAAGGTAGAAACTGGAGCCCAAGGCCCACCTCACCAAGTCTGCCATTCAGTCACACTGAAACAGAAGGAAAGGATATCAAATGTGTGCTCATCCGTGGAGCTGAAATGCCACTGTAATGGCTTAAATAAATACAATCTATTTGGCAACTTCTGTCTGCTCTGTGAAAATCCCAACGTGACCCTGGATAGGTAGATCAGGCGGTTCAGGGTCCTATCCACATGCAACTGAAGATACACCAGAGACCCCAGTATACACGACACTGGCAAACCTGTGTCTTGTGATTCAGTTTTAGGTTCCGGGAATCCTAACCATGCCAAAGGTAATTCTGTAAGAAATATTTTCAAGAGCATGAACTAACCCCTTGGCATTCCAAATGCTTGTCAAATGCACACAGATGCTTGAGCTGCAATTTAAGCAGTGTTAGGGCATGTCACCAAGTCATTCCATCTGTGTGTGATAGTCCAGTGACCTGGAAAATGTCTGAAATTCTGTATTTTGTTTAAAATATACATATCAAGAGTTGGGTACGGTGGCACACGTCTTTAATCTCAGCACTTGGGAGGCAGAGGCAGAGGGTCTCTGGGAGTTCCAAGTCAGCCTGGTCTATAGAAAGAGCTCCAGGCTAGTCAGGGCTACACAGTAAGACCCCGCCTCAAAACAAAACAAAACAAAACAAAAATCACATCTCAGGTTATCAATATGCTTGTCCCCACTACAGAGGTAATGTGTGCATGCGCACGCATGTGCATATGAGCACACCTGTGGAGTACTGTTTCGTATCTTTATTTCTTGGATCAGGGTCTCTTGGAGCTCACTGACTGTTATCTACACTAGCTGAGTGGTGAATCCCTGGGACCCTTCCGTCTCCACTTACCAGGGCTGGGATTAAAGACACATTGGCCATGCCTGGCTTTATGTGGGTGCTGAAAATCTCAAGTGACATTGTGCCCACTGAGCCATCTCCCCAGTCCCCATGCAAGAGGTATTAAGGTATCCGTGTTGACGGCTGGTCATCCTCTGCACAAATGCACAAACTACGGCCTGGGGAAACAAGTTCAGAGTACGAGTCTACAACATTTAAACTTGGCTAGTAAGAGGCGAAGACAAGCAGAGCAGACGAAAACGGCTCCGCTCAATGTAAACTAAGGCCCGCTACCCTTGAGTAAGAACAGAAACTCTTACAGGGTCGACAGCTCAGGCGGGGCTACTTACTTCCTCATTAAACAGCTTGCTAGTTTCTTTTTTGATGGGGTCTATGAGCTGGACTTGGCCTGCGGAAAAGCCCACTAGAAGAGACACACTCTCTGCTGTGGCTGTTAGGTGGTTGAAGTCATGACAGGTAGGCTGTGTTCCTTTGTATATCCTTTTATCTATTGGTTTACTCAGGTCAGCAGCCTGGAGGAGAAAGAAAAACACATATGGTAAACAGCACATTGAGATGAGTAAGCTGAGTTATTTTATACTCCATTATGAACTTCAATTTTAAAAACAAAGTTATTTAAAATATTGCTTCAACTGTGACTTAAACTCACTTCATATTTTATAGAAGCAATGTCACACATGTAGCCAAGTAGATATTTATTGTTAGTCTATCTATAAAATATTCGTTTCTGACTGTTGTTTCCACAATGTTTACTCTTCCAAATGTGTGTAACAAGGACTCCCAAACTTCAGAAAGAAAACCTCTCTGATCCTAAATTCCATATTCCCACGTGCATCCCAAGAATCCTAACAGAGTAAGTCTATCCACATACAACTCAGCTATGTCTACAGTACCTGAATGCCCACTGCTCAGTTACCTAGAGCTAACGGTACTCAGTGTGGGCTACAGACTGGCAGGCAGCAGCATGAACTGGACACTCAGAATGCAAATTCTCAAGCCCCACTCTAGCGCCTGTACATTAGAAACATGGCAGTAGCCCGCAACTGTACTTTTACAAGGCTCCCAGGCAGATGCCCTGGATGCGCTGAGGGCTTCTCACTCTGCTGCCATCACTGCTTACAGCAGCCCTGCATCACCCTACATGGAAAGCGCTCACCATCCTGCCTGGCTAATGCTGACCATAAGCAGATGGAGGGAGAATGCATGCAATGCACTCTAGCGCCAGAGGCAAACAGTGACTTTTCCATGTGTCTCCACCCCCCCATACTTTTTTTTTTTTTTTTTTAACATTTACTGTGTGTGCACACACAGTATGGAGCCATACAGAGCGTGGAGGCCACTGGACAAGTCGTGGAAGTCAGTGCTCTGCTTCCACGATGTGGGTCATACAGAATGAACTCAGATTGTCGGGTTTCCCTTTCTTCCAAGAAATGTGCCACGTAAGTGCAATATACTAGGTTGTTTCTGTTGGATGAAGGCAAGCCATATCCCCTATGTTTGAAAATCATAGATGGAGGACCTATGAAAAAGCGCAGTGGGTACCGGTGCTCGTCAACAAGCCTAATGACCACACATGCACATTCCCACACAGACACATCTAAAGTAAGTACAAAAGAAAAGATAAAACCACAGATGGACACAATATCATTCCTATGCATGTCTCTCTGTCTGTCTGTTCTTCACAACATTCTCTTCACCTCAGGCACCGACGACAAACCACAAGCCCCAGTCCCCTCCACCTTCCAAAGGGACCTGTGGCACTATCTGACTTATTCTGTTTGCTTCCCAAATCGCAAATACTGACTAGAAAAGAGGACATCAAAATTGTGAGTGACTTTGAGCAAGCTGGGACCAGAGGATTTCACAGTTAGTCCCAGAGAGGGCCGTGTAGAGTCTTGGGAGCCCAGCGTGAAAGAGACAGGCTACCTTCCCAGTTTGCTCCTGGTACAGCACAGATGAGGTGCTCACCTCTAATCCCAGCACTTGAAAGGCAAAGGCAGGCGAGATGTTTGAGTTCAGGGCCAGCCTGGTCTACAGAAAGTTCCAAGCCAGCCCAGGCTACATGATAAGATCTTGCCTCAAAAAAGCAAAAACCCAAAACTATAAATGAGACTGTCTTCTTTTTTTGGGGGGTGCTTTTTTGAGACAGGGTTTCCCTGTGGTTTTGGAGCCTGTCCTGGAACTCACTCTGTAGACCAGGCTGGCCTCGAACTCAGAGATCCACCTGCCTCGTCTGGGACTAAAAGGTGTGCGCCACCACCATCCGGCATAAATGAGACTTTCTGTCTCACCACTGTGGGGATGTTTGGAGGATGAAGCAAGGGGCTGTGCACTGAAACAGCACTGAAATTCATGGTGAGGCCTTGCTGCAAGGACACTGGATGAGGAGGTGTCTGCTGTGTGAAGAGACGGACTCAGGACAACTGGACAGAGATGAAGGATCAGCACCAGAAAGCACCTAAGACAGGCTCGATGGAAAGCTCCTGCTGAGTCCTAAAAGTTGGGCAAGAAGATCCCATGATGGGGGATGTCCTTCCGTATGCTTCGAATATATGTTTCTCTTAATGGTTGATGAATGAAGCTGTTTCAGCCAATGGACAGGCAGGATTTAGCCAAGTGGGAAACCCAAACAGGAATGGAGAAAGGTAGTAGGTAGTAGGTGGAGTCAAGGAGAAGCCATGTAGCTACGAGGAAGAGAGGATGCCTGAGCATTTTCCGGTAAGCCAAGACCATGTGGAGATGCACAGATTAACAGAAATGGGTTAATAATTAAGAGAGAGCTAGCCAATAAGAAATCTGAACCACCGGCCAAACAGTGTATAATTAATGTAAGCCTCTGTGTGTTTATTTGTGACTAAACGGCTGGGGGACCAGGTGGGACAGGAACTTCTGTCTACAATCCCAGGAGGAGGAAACCAGAGTAAGCCATCCCAGAACAATGAAGTTACCAGAGGATGGAGAAATGGCTAAAATAAGATACAACTGGCAGCTAGGGAGTAAAACTCCATTTTAAAGCATTAATCAGTAAATCACTATTTTTAAAGATATTTTATGTGTATGTTCGCACACCTTTAATCCCAACACTCAGAGGCAGAGGTGGGCAGGCCTCTGAGTTTTAGGCCAGCCTGGTCTACATAATGAGTTCCAGGACAGGTTACCCTGTGAGACTCTTTCTTAAAACCAACCCACTCAGTCCCCACACACAAAAATCAACAAGGAAGACAGATGAGAAGCTTTAAAGCTGGTCCCCCTGCACCCCTGGGACATACAAAAGCACAGCTCGATGTTACCCTACCACACTTCCTCTCTCCAGGCTCCTCTCTGTCCCAGCTCCTCTCCCTAATGATGCACCAAACAATTGCCGTGAAGCCTGAAGTGACCCAAAGGGACTTGCTCCCACTCCATGAACATCTGAAGATATTCGCGGCTTCTAGCCCAGGCAAGAGAAACCCACCACACAGCTCGGCTGTCCCCCACCCCGTCTTCTCAACGACAGACCGCCTGCTCGGTATACTTGTCCCATCACCTCTACAAGTGTGTGACCCTACTTGGAGCTCACAGACCTTTACAGCAGCAGTCACTACCTGAGCCACACTCTGTCCTTCATCAAGGGGTCACGACTCCCTGGCAGATGGCTTCCCAGCTTGGGGCCATGTCATCTCTGACGTGCTAACTATGAAGGGTACTAGTTCAGACCCCGCATTCTTCTCTACCTTCAGGTATTCTCCACTCCACCAGGCCAACCCTCAGTTGACAGGACCTCTCTGCAGCTTTCACATGCTGTGCCCTTAGCCCTTAGCTAGGGCATCTCCCTGGCACCTTCAGGGCTCACCGGTCCTCTGGCTACTACTCTGTACTCCCCCGTTAAATACTCCCACAAGTCTAAATGCTCAATCTCAGGCATGGCTTCAGAATTTTCAGCTAAGATTTATTTATTTTTATTTTATGTGTATGGGTGTTTTGCCTGCACCCACATCTGTGCCTGTGGAGGACATACGGCATCGGATCCCCTGGGGCTGAACGTACAAGTCACTGTGAACCCCATGGAATCAAACCTGGGTCCTCTGGAAAGGCAACACATGCTCTTACACACTGAACCTTCTTTCCAGCCCTCAGAATCACTTTTCTATGGGACAGTTAGAAAAGCTCCCGAGGGGCAGAGACTCTCTATTACGCTGCAGTGCACTGCTCTACAGACCCAGCTAGTTTTCAGCTTCCTAGTGACTCCTACATGCTTTGCAAGCTAATTATTACCAACCGTCTCAACCCTTTTAAACATGAACTTGGAACAGAACCAATTTCTTTCTTGAGACAGGGTTTCTCTGTGTAGCTCTGGCTGTCCTAGAACTAGTCTGCAGACCAGGCTTGTCTCAAACTCACAGAGATCTGCCTGCCTCTGCCTCCTGAGTGCTGGCATTAAAGGGTTGTATCACTCCACCCCCTAGCTCAGAACCAATTTCTTAAAACATCTTACCAGTTTTAAGATTCATGTCCTCAAATGGATGGAACTAGAAACAGCCATCCTGGATGAGGGAACCTAGACCCCAAAAGACAAATATGTACTGATTCCTACGTGGATAGTAGACATAAAGCAAAGCATAATGGGTATACAGTCCACAAGCCCAGAGAACCTAGGCAACAGAGAGGACCCTGAGAGACATTCATGGATCTCATCTGCCTAGGTAAGGGAAAAAGACAAGGTCTCCTGAGCAAATTGGGAGCATGACAGGCATGGGGGAGGGGGGAAGGGGAAAGGGGAGGAGGGGAGAGGAGTGGGGGAAAATGTACATCTCAATAAAAATATGGTTAAAAAAAATCATGTCCTATTAATTTGCAACCTCAATAGAGTATCCCCAAACACTCACTATTTACTGAAGGAACTATGATTACTCTTGGTTGCTTTCACTATTTGGAGTACACACATATGATGAGTTACTGATTACAAAATAACGATGAGTCAGTGTCTCCTCATACTTATTAGCTCAACTTGGTAAAAACCTTCAAGTAATGCTTTAAGAATACATACTTGCTAGGCACCGTGGTGACGCCAGAGCAGGCAGATCCTAGCGCCTGGGAGCAGGGCAAGATGAGCAGAAATTCAAGGTTACCCTCAGTTATAAATGGAGCTGGAGGCCAGGCTGATAAAATGAGATCTTGTCACGAAATAACAACAAAATTCAAAGCTAGTGACTAACTTATGCCATATGAGGCCTGGCCTGCCTCAAACACAAACCCAAATCTAAACCAACATCACTATATCCAGCTAAGGCCGGGGATTCACAAATTCCAGGCTAGCCCATTTCAAAAAGAAACAAATGCAAATTTAAAACCCACAACTCTGGTGTCAACACCTGTCATTTCAGCACTTAGAAGACTGTGGCAATTAATCTAGACCAGTCAGGGCTCAACAGTGGGACCTGATCCCAGCTCTTAAAAAATCAAGAGGACTGGAGAGACGGCTCAGTTGTGAGGACTGGCTGCTCTTCCAGAGGACCCAGGTTCGAGTTCCCGC